GTGACTGATAGTACGTGAAATAAGCACAGTAGAAACAATCTCAGGGGAGCGAAATCGGATCAAAGTAACACTAAAGGAGGAACAAGCGCCCGGTGGTAACATCACCAAATTACCACCCCGGAGGACGTGTGTTCGAATCCCGTCACTATTGCCTGATTTTATCCACTGTGTATTGTATCGTGGCTGTTTGATTGGCCGCTTACTCCTTCGTGAAAATTGTATCATGATGTATTCAATAAAAGGAAGTAAACATGGAAAAGATAAAAAGCTGGACGTCGGAGTTGGATCTTTGGGAAGGTGAGTGGTTTTGCTTTGTATTCGATCAAGAAAGTATAGGAAAGATGACGGAATTTCACCACGCGTGTGACTCTAGTAATCTAAGATACAGTGCACCAGAGCTCTGTAGAGAAAAATAAGGAAACTAGAAAATCTACAAAGTCTTCTACACCGCGAGTAGCTCGTGAATAACTGTATGAGGTAATTCCGGTGAGCAGAGCGAAAGTTATTGTTTGTGAGACCGGTTTTGTCAGAAAATATGGGTGACGAGAAAGAGAAAGTATACGATAAATGTCGCTGGGGAACCATTGTTTTTCATTTTTGTCTTCTTTTATTGAGTACTTAGAGATAAAATTTTCACAAACGGCGAAGCGGCCAATCAAAGGGCTACCATACAACATAGAATAGGGCAAGTCAGGTGATGGTGGTGGAATTCGAACACACGTCCTTCGGGGTGATAATTTGGGAAAGTTCTCACCGGATCACCACCACCCATGGGACTATAACACACCAAATGATAAGCGAACGCGATGCGATCAGTTGCTGTGGAATAGGAGGAGCAGAAAGCCGGATATGATGGTGGGTCGCGGATCAGCTAGATCAGTTGATCAAACATGCGTGCCGTTTGTTTATTCCATTATGCTGTCTGAATACCATTAGCCGCTTTCGTCCGTCTAACATCACCTCACCGGCCATGATTTCACATTTTCAGTATACGAATTACTAGATAGCAAGCAAGTTTTGACCATTATTATTGCCATCATCATTGGGTTTTTTAACTTGGCAACTATCAATGAAAATCAACTCCATGAGTTCTGGTGCATGACCACCATCTTGGTGTTGGTGAATTCTCCGAGCTAGAAGTGTTGTTCATAGACGTTTAGTGCCAGGCTAAGTAACATTATCAGTGCAACTTCGGGGAAGCACCAGCCCTCAGTGTGATCGGGTTTATATCGTTTTTTTCGAGGATTTTGTTTGGCTGTTAGCGTCTTCGAAGTTGCACTGATGATGTTGCCTAGCTTGACTACTAAACGTCTGCGAACAGCACTTTCAGCTTGGCGTACTCACCAACACCAACATCTGCATCCCGAGCTACATTCATCATTCCACATCATTTTCACAACCATTTGTGATTGGAGTTCACCATTTGGCAAAATCCAGAAGACAACCGCGCAGAGAGAACACAGTCTGTCGACCACCCTGATCATAGAAGACAAATAGAACAAGAGATACAACGAACGAGAGAGAAAGAGAGAGACGTACCGGACACAACTTGTTGTAATTCGTCTGAGTGGTCCGGTTCCGTTGCGAAGTAGCGCAAGGCCAATAACCACAAATTAGGCATCGCATCACTGGGGAGATGTGAAGAACGCGGTTGAAAGAAACACAAACAACGTTTAGTCAGATAGTGATGAACACTAAAATAATCTGGAGTATTGTGAAATCACAAATGTAATGGTTTTCGCTCAACAAGACCCAGTTTTTCTCTGAGGCTTCTTTTTTGACGCTCTGAGAAATGGGTTCTTGGATTGCATCTCTTAGAGCATCTATTGGGTAATTCCTATTCGGCCTTTCTGTGGCGACGGTTTATTTTGCAAAAATAAGTATCTGGATCGATAGTCTTGTTGATCAGCAACAGACAGTTTTTCTTTTTTCATTTTACTTCCTTCAATTGAATATAAAAAGATACAATTTTCAGGTAGGGTTAGGTGGTCAATCCAGGGGCTGATATACAACACAAAGACGGTCGGTAGGGTGGTGGAATTCGAACACACGTCCCCCACGGTGATGATCTGGTGACCTCAACCACCGGGCCACCACCTCATTCGTTTCAAAACTAACAAGAAATGGTGTACAAACTGGTCCCTGATTGCAGTGTCAGCGGTTCAGTCAANTTGGACGTGTAAACCCCGTCCAAAGGACATTAAATCCGACTTGCTTGTCACTGAGCACATCTAGTATGTTTCTGTCAATCAGCATGTGATTAAGATAGACAACTAATGCAACTTTTTAATTGTACTGGGGTCCCGTTTTAAGAATGCCAAGTTGATAGGGGACGTTCATTAACAAGTTTACACCGAAATCATATGCAAAAACGAGAGAGTAAGAAGAGAATGTCACTCACCCATATTGTTGACAGGTTTCCAGTACTTCCGCACTAGCGTCCAAGCTGACGTAGTGATGAAGTAGCTGATCATAGCTGAATGATAATCAGACGGAAAAAAAGGCGAATAGGAAGGGGAGGGAAAGAACAGAATAGGTGGAGAGGCAGAGATTGACATGAGAACGATTAGCTTGTTTATTGACGTGGCGTCAACAGAGGTGATGAGAAACAAACGACACAGACGGATAAATAAGCATTGTTGTTCCTCACATAGATCGCACCGGTGATGATTTGGCACCGTACGAATTAGCCACATTTTCGAAAAAGACGAAATAGTGTTACAAATATTGGGAAGATAGGAGTCGATAGAGAGAGAGAGAGGGTGTGCTCTTCGCCCTTTAGACAACAGCCGAGAGCACGGTAACCCTAAAGTGTGGTCCATTGCCGAATCGATGATAACAACTGAGAGATGAAAACTAGCACACACAAAAAGAACCGAGTTCCTAACTCAGCTTTACACAGTAATCGGCCACTTCCCACAATCAAAACGCCAAACAGAACGTTCCTAACCCGAAAATGAGCACATCACATTTAACAACAACCTATTTGGCTTATATTTAATTAATTTTAATTCAAAACGTCAATATTTTGAGTGGCAAAAATAAAATTTAACTAAAAATTGGTCAATATTTTACAGCTGTATGAATACTGGTATCATCATCTATCTTTATTTCTCATTCTCCCTCTCTCTGTGATTCAATCCGTCCTTTAATTACTCATCCAGATAAACAGCAACCAAAACAGTCAAGAAAAAGTGCACGGTTAATAGTTGGAAAAACTGAAATTCACTGTGTGTATAAGCCAGAACATTTTAAAGCACAGTTCAGCTGGTCCCCGTCGAGACAAAACCTCCCCATACCTGCTTCGGCTGGACAAATACTGTCAGTAGATAGATATCAGTCCTCCATTGGAAATGACGATTATCCAGGAAATCACTTACCACAAAAGGTATAACGCGTCCGGCACAGATGGGCTGCTTCCATCGGCTTTCAAGGATGGAGAGTTGGTCTAGGTTTGGGAGTTAAAGAAGCTCCTGGAGTCAGTGTGGTAAATCGAACGGATTACAGCTGAACGATGTGAACCGGTCATCTTACCGATTTACAAGAAAGGTGACAGATCACTTTGTGAAAACCGGAGAGGAATCAGTTTTTTCAACAAAGCTTCTAAATTTCACACCGAGATCAGACTCTGTATACTGTCTACCGCAAGCGAACGACCCACGCGTGAGAATCAGGCTGATTTGTGATCTGGTCGAGGTTGTATCGATCACGTCTTCACTCTTCACCAAATTCTGGAACACCGCCATTCTTTTATTGTCCCTATCATTTTTGTCTTCCTGAATCTGATTGCGGTTTCGACTCAGTCGACCGCTCCAAACTCTGACGCACCCTCGCTCTAAAGGGTTTGCCCGAGAAGTTTACTTCAATATGACACTCACTATATACTGATAGCTGAAGCGGAGTCCAAAAATACGGCACTTCTGCACCTCAGTTCTCTGCAGAAAGTCGTATTCGGCAGGGTTTTCCTCTCTTTCTCCATTTCTTCTATGACTTAGTCACAGATTTAATTCTTCAAACTGCCCTATCCTGCGACGATAGTGACACCGTTCTTTCTGATGGTGGCTTTCTGATAAGGAGCATGTATATGACATTTTGCCACTAAGTGAACGTGCAAATTTTTCTAGATCGTTTGAGTGCTAATGTGGACATATTCGGTATGCGTTTCGCACCGTCAAAGCGTAAAGTGGTGTTACAAGATTGGATTGGTCCAGCCCCCAAACTCACCCTGACTGAGAAAGTAGTAGAGTAAATAGACCGACTGTGCACTCAGTTTCACCCTGATTGGGGTAGAAGTAGAGGAAGTGGACTAATTTTGCTATCTGGGCAGCTATATCTCACCTGGCGGCCGCGTCACAGATGAAGTGTCGGCGCGCATACAGCAGACTCGATTGGCATTTGCCAACTTGAGACATCTTTGGCGCCGTCACGACATCCGGCTATTTGTGAAGAATCGAGTACATGCTGCAGCAGTTCGTCCACTGCTGCTTTACGATGCAGGTCACTATGGGAGTAGGATGAAAATAAATTGTTTATATTCGAACACCACTACCTAGATCGCATTGCACGTGTCTGGTGGGGAAACCGGACGAGCACTGCTGAGGTTAGGCGTACAGTTTTAGGTAACCGCGGTCACCCACTGGAGCAACTGGTTGACCTTCCCATATAATGCTTGTTGGAACATGAGTCATCAAATAACAGCTGCCACGGCGAGCGATGTTTGCCGAGTTAGGTAGTGGGTGGAATAAAGCCAAGGGTGGTCAAGCAAAGACCTAGCATGAGGGTATGAAAACACTGACTAGTAGTCTGGGTCACATAGGTCCCGTTAGACTCCCTGG